GGAGTCCAGTATGCCTTTGCAGGACTGCCAAGTAATCTACAAGATTAGAAATTACAACCAGGAGGGGTGGCTCACACCTGTAATCCCAGCACTTTGGGAGGCCAAGGCGGGTGGATCACGAGGTCAGGAGTTCAAGACTAGCCTGGCCAACATTGTGAAACCCCGTCTCTACTAAAAATACAAAAATTAGCTGGGCACAGTGGCACACGCCATTAGTCCCAGCTACTCAGGAGGCTGAGGCAGGAGAATCGCTTGAACCTGGGAGGCAGAGGTTGCAGTGAGCCGAGATCGTACCACTGCATCCCAGCCTGGGTGACTCTGTTTCTACAGATCAGGTGTCATGCAGCCTCTGGCTCCAAGAGTCTGAAACTCCCCAATTGCTCCTGGGGATAACATCACTATTGTAAAACCTAAAATCAGTGCTTCAGATATTTTGCAGACCCTGCACTCAGTGGATCAGTTGACACCACGCAAACTAGTAATCTGGCTCCACAAGTTCTGCCATCACACCCAAGAATAGAAGATATTAAAAAGAAAAAAAAACTAACTGCAACCTCTTATGATTCCATCTCCAACCTGACCAACCAGCACTCCCCACATCTCAAGCCCCTACCTGCCAAATTATCTTTAAAAACTCTGAGGCCTGAATGCTTAGGGAGACTGATTTGAATAATAACAAAACTCCAATCTCCTGCACAGCTGGCTCTGTGTGAATTACTCTTTCGCCACCGCAATTCCCATCCTTGACAAATCGGCTCTGTCTAGGCAGCGAGCAAGGTGAACCCATTGGGCTGTTAAAATATTAATGTGGCCTTTAGCCATGAAACAGCTTCGGCTTGGCTTAAGCGGCACAAATCAGCCACACTCACCTGCGCTATGCCTTTTAACCTGCGTTATCACCTGCCTCCGAAGCCCTCAGATCCAGTTTTCTTTCCTAGGGCTTTGATCCAAAGCTTGGAATTGAGTCTGGGACAAAAATGTGTCTTGGGGGGTGGTTGCATGGACTCCTTATTAAAGTCAAATGCTGACGTGAAACTGTGGAACTGAGTCCTTCTTCAACAAGAGAGAGAAAAGGATGTCTTGTAACACACTCAGATAACTGGTAGCTACAGTTATTCTTTCTAGGATGTGGGTGCGTGGTGCTTGGCTTTGGTTAGTTCCTTCGGTCTTACTGTCTGCAAAGAAAACCCCCGGGTGATGGGCACCCTATTTATTCCAATCACCTGGAAGGATTTGTAGAGTAATTTCTCAGAACTGGAATATTGATCCAGATTTTGACATTACCCATCCCCTTTTGTTCTTTCTGAGCTTCCACCAGAGATTGCTGATAGGTTCACAGGAACAAGCCGGGTAAGTCTAAAATGTAGGCAAAAACTTAAAAACTAGTGAGTTTAGAATTTAATGACAAATATATGATACATTTTGAAACGTGATTTCTCTCTCTCCAGTCGGTTTTCATTAAAAAAATCATCACGGGACTGGTTTGCAAAATAGACTTTAGTATTATACTTGGAGACTGATTATTTGCATAAAGTGTAGCAAGAATAATTATTTCGACACAGGCCTTTTGAATTGGCTTTGATGGAAGTTTGTTCCACAGGTAATCTCAGATAAGACCTTCTAGAGCCAAGCTCAACAATGGGTTTGTATTCTCAAACACCTGTGAGTTGGGTGATCCTTTCCTCTTTAGGTTCTATAATAAACTTGGAGCTCCTAGACCTGTTAGAAAGTGACATTCTTTACTGACCACAAGTCAGGAACCCTGTACAGGGACTGCACAGACAAGGGTACGAGGCCAGCTTCCCCACTGGGCTTTTATTGGCTCTACAAGTCGAGATTGACTCCTTAAAGGGAAGCATACCCTTCCAGTCAAAGCCTTTGTAAAATACCCAGTTTCTCCAACTGTGTTCTGTTGCAAAAGAAAAATGATTCTTACTGCACTGATGCAAACAACTATACTGCCATAAGAATACTCACAGATGGTTTCCAAATTCTAGAAGAACCAGGCAGAGAGAAATAAACATGCTCCAAATTTTGATCACAGGAGTGAATACCTTAATTATTAAACGCTGTAAATAGTTCAAAATAAGCTTTCTTGACTCTGACAAAGATCAGCAATATTCCAAGCAAAAGACAGAAAGACTTGCTTCAGCTTCCTGATTTCAGTCCATTTAGTTAACTCTTGTTTTGCTTGATATTTGTGAACATTTCTGCCCTTCTTGAGTCCTGTACATTTTCCTTTATTCTAATGTTACAATCTTCAAAGTTATCAGAAGTCTGTATTTGAGAGCACCTGTTTAAGTTCTATAGCTAATGATAAACCATCTTTTGAAAAGGATTAAAATAAGACAACAATTATCTGTGAAGAGCAAAATGTACAGGGTAGTTACACTTAGAAACACGACTGACAAAGAAGTTTGGTTATCTTCGTGGTTTACAAACTTAACACTCTTAATCATAATTGATAGTATATACTTAGACATTAGAATTTTAGAAATGCCACATAATTTTGGAACATATATTAGCATTATTTACCAACATATAACCTAAAGAATATTGAACATCATTTTGGCAACCCCCATGTACCGAAACATGTCAAATAATCCTGTTTCCCTCTCTTTAATGCCGGGTGTCAGGAAAGACAATTTTGAAACTTAAGTTTGATTTTGGGAAGCCTGTTAAATGCATTCAAGGCTCAAAGCACTCGATATTATGAAATAAAGTTCAGATTATTATAAGTTTTTTAATTTGCCAAAATGACTCGAAAAGTTTAAAAAAGCAAAAATCTTTTATAACCCTTTACGAATTTTGTCAAAGAGCAAAATAGCAACTTAAGAAAACCTTGTCATGCTTTTATTTCAATGATGAATTTACAGAAAAACCATATAATACCCTTTTGCTTTTAGTCAGTATGTTCACACACAGAACCTGTTCTGTGGGATTAATTTCCAACATTTTTGCACCACTTGTTTGAACCTTCAGCTTTTCCTATAGAACTCAAAACAATCCTTTAACCCTAGGCAAAAACTTACATTTCCATGCCTTCTTATGACTTTTTACTAAAAAAACATTTTATTGTTCTTACATCCCTTGCATTCAAATCAATTTTCAATAGTCTCATTTACATGTTATAATGGTAACACCCAGCAACTTTTAAGTTTCAGGTAAAAAGGGGTAAGTTGCTTTAATTGTGTGTTAAGTGCAGCCAGGTTTGACTCCTGCTTAATTAAGAGCGTGGTTAGTTTTCCCATTAATGTCTCCATATGTGCCCCGGGCCTTATCCAACTTGGCGAAGGGCCAGCAGCAAATTAAATAGCTCTCAAAAAAATAAAAATAGCTCAGTGGCTTAGTAACTCAGAAAGTAAGGATTCTGGTAACTTCGAAGAGCAGCTTTAGGCCAAAACCTTGCATCTGACCTTCATAATTTATCCCACCTATTCACATTTTGATGTGATCTGCTTGTTATCCATAACCTTTAAGGCTGTTCCTACTTAGCAAAGATTAAAGTCACGTGAACTGAAAGGTACCACAGCTTTTATCTTCCCTTTAAAAAAATATTAGATCCAAGCGCTTGTCTTTCTTTAGGCTAAATTAATCAGAGCTCTTTTTACAGACATCACACACAGAAGAGTCACAGGCTGAAGAAAACCCTGTCTCCACAAAATCATTGTTTACAATCAAAACTTTACGAATATAAACAGTGATATCTGGGGGATCTGGACTAGTAAAACGTCTTCTAGAAGGGAAAAAATCCTTACAAGTTAACTTGCTGATGAGGCAGAGAAGAGGAAGGAAAGAAACAATTTAAAAATTCCTAGGGAAGAACCAATTTTTTCCTTTTTTTTTTTTTTGAGACGGAGTCTCATTCTGTCACCCAGACTGGAGTGCCATGGAGCAATCTCGGCTCTCTGCAACCTCTGCCTCCTAGGTTCAAGCAATTCTCCTGTCTCAGCCTCCTGAGCAGCTGGAGGTGCTCGCCACCACGCCCAGCTAATTTTTGTATTTTTAAAAGAGATGTGGTTCCACCATAATGGTCAGGCTGGTCTCGAACTCCTGACCTCTTGATTCACCCGCCTTGGCCTCCCAAAGTGCAGGGATTACAGGAGTGAGACACCAGCCGGGCCAGAACCTCTTATTCTTATGCAACTGGTTCTTAAGGATAATAGAGGAGGCGGCGAACAAGTCAAATCAGACACATAAACCGTCTCTCTAAAACAAAAATTAGCCGGGCGTGGTTGCGGGGCCTGTATCCACTACTTAGGAGCTGAGCAGGAGAATGGGAACCCGGGAGGCGGAGCTTGCAGTGAGCTGAGATCACGCCATGCACTCAGCCAGCGGGACAGAGCAAGACTCCGTCTCAAAAAAAAAAAAAAAAAAAAAAAAAAAAAAATAGTTAGGGATAATAGTTGAATTACTATCAATGGAGTAAAACCCCTTGGCCGGGGGATAATAGTTGAATTAGTATCAATGGAGTAAAACCCCTTGGCGGGGGGAAGGGGAAGGATGCACTGTGGTTGGCAACCAGACAGCGGCTGTGCATGACCCTTGGGTTATGCGTCCTAGTCCATGCACGTAGGGGAGGGGGAGCAAGGAGCCCCCATTCGCCTGTCTTTCCCGACCCCTATACAGGAGTTGGGGGCACTTTTCCCCTAGTCTCAGAAGTGGGAGGATGGAAAGGCTTAGAAACCACAGTGAAAGGTTTTGACTCCCCATTTCACTCACCGCTTCTCGAACCCCCACGTCGTGCACCAAAAATGCTGCGGGACTTTTTTTTTTAATTCAGCTAAAGACAAGGTTCTTTGTCCCACGGCCTCGAAAATTCAGGCTCACAGACAAATTGAATGGTAATACAGAGTTTTATCCGGTGATATCGGGTGAAAAGGAAGAAGAGGGGGAAACAGGGACTCTCGCTAATCCACAGCGCCTGCTAGAGCTCTTCCCGCCGGCAGCTGGAATCCCAGGATCCACACAGGAAGAGGCGGGGCCAGGCTCCTCCCCACTGCAAACGTCCCAAACTTCCGGAGGCTGCACCTCAGAGTGCGGGTGGGTTGAAGTTTCTCCTGGCACCGTTTCTCACCTAGCTGCGTCAACAGGAATTTGAGTCTTGCTCATCTCAATTAGCCTGAGGTAAAATTGGTTTCCTTACATGCCATTTTGATTAAAGACACCATTTCCAAGAACCTATCAAGGAGGTTAAGTGAGGACTTACTGTGTACAGCCGTGGCAACCTTTTCCGTTAATAAGGGATTGCATATATGATGGAGGTTCCATAATAGAGCTGAAAAATTCCTCCTGTCTCCTAGTGATGTCCTAGGTGTCCTCAAAGTTGTGGCGCCACAGCTTGTTTGTCTGTTTGTAGTACTGGCATAAATCTACTGGGCTGTCAGTCATCAAAAAGTCTACCACATACAGTTACGTGTGGTACATAATAATAAGGGTAATAAATGACTACGTTACTGGTTTATGTATGTACTATACATTTTATCATTTTAGAGTGTACGTTCTCTCCTTATTAAAAAATAAAAGTTAACTGTAAAACAGCCTCAGGCAGGTCTTTCGGGGGTGTTCCAGAAGAAGACATTGTTATCATAGGAGAAAAGCATGTGATTGCCCCTGAAGCTCCATGCATGTTACTGCCCCTGAAGAACTTCCAGTGGGACAATACGTAGAGATGAAAGGCAATGATAGTGATGACCCTGACTGTCCGTAGACCCAGGCTGATGGGTGTGTTCCTGTCTTAGTTTTTAACAACAAAGAAACGATTTAAAAGTGAAAAATAACTTATACAAAGCTGATAAAGATTGAAAGAAAATATTTTTGTACAGTATAAATTGTGTATGTGTTTTAAGCTACATGTTATTACTGAGGAGTCAAAAAGTTTAAAAAGTTAGAGTAAAAAAGTCAAGGCCAGGTGCAGTGGCTTACACCTATAATCCCAGCACTTTGGGAGGCTGAGGTGGGCGAATCACCTGAGGTCAGAAGTTCCAGACCAATATGATAAAACCCCGTGTCTACTAAAATTATCAAAATTAGCTGGGCGTGGTGGCAGATGCCTGTAATCCCAGCTACTCAGGAGGCTGAGACAGGAGAATCCCTTGAACCCAGGAAGCAGAGGTTGCAGTGAGCCGAGATTGCACTATTGCACTCCAGCCTGGGCAACAAGAGCGAAACTCTGTCTCAAAAAATAAAAATAAAAAAAGTCACAGTAGGCTAACGTTAATTTATTATAAAGGAAAAAATACAGATTTTTAAATAAATTAAGTGTAGCCTTAGTGGACAGTGTTCAAGAAGTCCACATATTGTACAGTAATGTCCTCAGCCTTCACATTTACTCACTCACTCATTCCCTCACCCAGAGGAAACAGACCTGCAAACTCCATTTGTGGTAAGTGTCCTGTATATAAAAATTACACAATTTTTTATCTTTTATACCATGTTTACTATACGTTTTCTATGTTTAGATATTATATACACAAAGATTACATACACAGACCATTTTAATTGTCTGTGCAGTACAGAGGGGCCTCAAATAATGTTTTTTGTTATAATGTCAATGAGGAAAAAAAAATCACTTTCTCTCTAGGTATTCTGGTTTCTTCCCCCATCCCAAAGATGTGCATGTCACGTGAATTGCTGTGTCTATATGGTCGCAGTCTTATGTGTGTGGAGGTGTTTGTGAGTGTACCCTCCCACGAGACAGAGCCCTGTCCAGGGCTGGTTTCTGCCTCATGCATTTGCTACAGGGACAGCTTCTACCACCTGGGACCCTAAACTAGAATAAGGGGGTTGGCAAATGAATGAATGAATACAAATGATTGTAAAATAAAAATTCATAAAATATATGATAATCATATAAATGCATGACAATAAATGATGTAGTATTGTGGCAAGCCAGGTCTCACTAACACAAGCCTCTGTAACAACTGTTTCTGTACTGACTGAGTGGTTAAGTTAAATATTAAAAGCCCAATGCCCTTATACAAAAGCTAGGGTGTAACAAAAGCTCACCAAGAGTTTTGCCTTGGCCTTAAAGCATGACAAAATAACCAAATAATTTTTTTTTTTTTTTTTCTTGAGACAGAGTCTGGCTCTGTTGCCCAGGCTGGAGTGCAATGGCGGGATCTCGGCTCACCGCAAGCTCCGCCTCTCGGGTTCACGCCATTCTCCTGCCTCAGCCTCCCAAGTAGCTGGGACTACAGGCGCCCGCCACTGCGCCCGGCTAAGTTTTTGTATTTTTAGTACAGACGGGGTTTCGCCGTGGTCTCGATCTCCTGACCTCGTGATCTGCCTGCCTTGGCCTCCCAAAGTACTGAGATTACAGGCGCGAGCCACCGCGCCCTGCCCTTTAACCAAGGAATTCTTAACAGGACCCATTAAGGATTAAGCAAGTTTAATTGTGGGTCATCTGCATCTCACTATTGGGCCATGAGAAATACCAGGCCGAGCCTCAATGTGGTCTGGGAACAGTATGAAAGTGCACAGCAAGCCAGCCATATTTATTCTTGTTTGTTTTTGAACTGCATGGTGGTGAGAGATGCTCCTCACAACATCTGCTTTATAAAAATTTATTCATTGATTTAACCCATCGCGACTACAACTGCCAGCACTCAACGATTCACCAAAATTGGGTAAATGATTATCTTATTTCTTTTTATTAATCTTTCTTAAACATATATGTAGCCCACATTCAGCTCAATGTTTAATATTAAAAGTGTTTTTGGGGTCTTTATGTAGACATTTGGTGATATTTTTGTGACCAGAAGTATACTATAGAAACTTAACCCTTAATTATCTCAATTTGCCATGAAAAAATTGGTTTGTGATATGTCATTTTGCTTAAAGGCACAGTTTCCCAGAACTGATTGATGACATTAAATAAAAACTTACTGTATTTCTTTTGTGTGTTTTTGAACTTTATATGAACGTCATCAAACCGTATGTATTTTTTGTTCTTTATTTCTTTCCCTCACCACTATATCTAAAATCTATGTAGTTCCTTGCAATTTGTAGCTTTATCATTGCTGTGTATATTGTATTCACTTGTATGAATACATTTCAGAAGTGTTTTTATAATCATAAGTGTAAATTACGTTTCATAGACATTACACACCAGAATATTTGATTTAATGTGCATGAAGATTATAAATAGTTAATTTTCAGGGATCATTGATTACCGGCAAAATGTCATTATTCATTGTCTTTCAGTGGAGAACAAACTGGGCACTTTCTTTTGAAAGACTTACACAAGCTCTAGCCACTGTATTGCTCTTTATTCTTTGTAATCAAGATCATTTTCTTAATAAGGCAAGAAGAGAGGATAAAAGAGATGCTGGTATTCTTCAGTGTAGCTAGTCAGCAAGAGCTCTATTCTTTTGTTAGCCTTTTATTTTCGTGATTAAAAATTTTGATTTGTATGCGTATGTGTATTTGTTTTATAAAAATAATCTGTTAGCATGAATAATAGATTAGTGCTGTCAGTAGTATTTTTGTGAATTACATAGAAGAAATTTGGGAAATATTTTTCCAGCTCCCACATAATCAGAGTTTGGATAAAAGTTCATACAAGAGCGGAAAAGAAAACAAATATTTCATTATTTTTAGCTTGCAATGCTTTGACAAAATCACATACTGTTGTAACTCTAAATGTATATAATATCAGACAGATTCCCCTTACTCTTTTTAGAGTAAGATTGAGATTCCTTGGAAAACTTATTAAGGGAAGGGTGTTGGGACAATTCAGTTCTTGTGCTGCAGTTAATCCTGAGGCTGTGACTGATAACTCATAATCTCTATCCTTCACAATAATTTTAAATTCCCCTTTCCTTCAACTGACAATTTTGCTGATTAGATAATTTGTCTGAAAAGGTAACCTAGACTCTTTCATAGGAGTCTGAAGTTGTGTCAAGGTGTATTTATTAGTCCATGTATGTTCCACTTGTTTATTTACAGTTTAAAATAGCTATAGAAGTAATAAGAGATACACCCGAAGATCTCCTGTGTGTTAAACATATTCTCCCCTACACTCATGAAAATCAGCGTTAGTAACCTTTACTTATAGTAACTTCTCTCTGTGCCTTCTGGTCTAATGGCACAAGGAACCCATAGTGATTCAGTGACAACTATAGATTTGTGCTCTGTGGGACTCTAAATATTCAGTGGCGAGAATTTCTCTTCTGGGAAACAGGACATCAGGAGCCCAGTGTTTCTAAAGATGACAAGCACAAATTCCTTAATGGATTATTGGGAAAGATGATGAAGAGTATTAAACTTCCAGCTTATGTTCTCCAGACCCATGCATCCTACTATATAAAAGTAATTGCTTTAAAGCGTATAGTGAATACTCAATCGTAGTGCCCCGCCTTTGCCTGCAGAAATCTTCAAGCTGGTATTCAGCATTTTTGAGCATCTTGGTCATCCATTTTTTGTTTAAATTAATCAGTTGCAAAAATCAGCATTGATGTATTGGCAGTGGTTAATGCCTTATCTCCTTGTTCAGAACCAGATTACAGATCTGGGGGGAAATCATGCAAATGGACTAGAGTATCTCTTGAGCTATAGTTGCAATATGTGGCAAGGCTGCATTTACCACAGATGGGGCCTATTTTCCTGCCCTGCAGCACACTCAAAACTAGCAGGCTTCCACATAATCCAACAACAGGTCAGAACCCCATTTTAAAATATGAAAGGTGCTCACCCCAAAATCTGAAGAAGCCTAACAATTAATGAGATTTCATCTTCATGCAGTGTCATGAAGGTGCACTAAACCATCCTTTATTTTGGAAGAAGTGTCACAACATGCCCCTAGACCACTAGACCTCTAAATATTTTAATGTGGCTCCTTGAATCAGTGTAGGTTTTATCTTTCCCCTATTGAAGTACATGTGTCTTATCATGATCTGAAAAGTACTGTCTATATCTTGTTCATTTGGCCCAACAAACATAATGTCAAAAATAAAAGCAGATCAATGAGATGTTCTAGTAGAGTGCCCAAAGGGTCCAGATACCCCCAAATTATATTCTGGTACAGGTTGGGGAAAAAGCCTGGAATAAGATCATAAATATGTTATGTTGTCTACCTTATGAGTCCAAAATGCTTTTGGTCCTTCATTCTGATGGGGATAGAAATA